CTCCATAAAATCAATAATATTGCATCTGAGTGCATTTCAAGTAGCAGGTAACTTGGATGTTTGTTATAAAATTATTCCTGGCTCATGTACAATGCTACATAGTGTGTGTATGTGCCTGTGTATGCTGCATCATGCTATACAGGCTATGTGTAATCTTCCCAGCAGTGAGGCAATCCAATTAGTAAAGCAACTATTACTCAGTAACACATGAAGCCTCATCCATCACAGCAGTGACAGCAGGTAGCTTCCCGTATCCATATTGGATCTCACCTTACTTCTTCCACCCAGCCTCTACTTCTCTGTCTCTGCATTTTGCATCACTTCATTCTTCTTTGCCCTCAGTCTATCATTTTCCAGTGATGCATCCCCAGCACTTTGCTGTAGAGTACTACTGCATTTCCTCCCCTCAGTGTCTCCTGCTGTCAACCACTCTATCCATGCACTACCACCCCCCTCTGCCACTTCCTCTGTTTAATTCTGCTCAGCTGCAGCCCAATCCAAATGTAAAGCAAAGTGACAGCTTTATAGTACAGCTACTGCCTGTAAATACTGGCAAGTGAAAAAGAAATAGTAAGTGTGGGAGAAAGGCAGGGCACTGTGCTCCCTCACTGGTCACAATGATACGGTTATGAGGCAAACTATGGTAATCCCAGCCAATACACTGCAAGGGTGACAATGTAACTACAGCTGTAAAATGTATAATGATTATCCAAAGCTCAGGGGGTGCCGCAATGAAGTCCAAATGCCAAGTGTGTTATAAACCCACAGGAAATGAAAGGATTTTTCCAGAAGCCCCCTTCTTATTGTAATGTCATAATTTACTGTGGTGAATTACTGTGATGACAAAAAGCTTTAATGTGAAGTTATTCACAAGGAGAGAAGGTGATGAGATGAGGGGGGAGTCAGACACAGCCACCTCCATACTGTACACTCACACAAAATTATAACTACATAAACTATATAAAGACACACATCAAGACAAAAATGAATTCAGTCACACACACTTCACACTGACATGCTGTATATACACATCCAAAAGCACAAACACACCTCTCTTCACCACTATGGAATACATACTCCCTTGTAGTGCTTACCTTCTCCTACTCTGACTCTGGTGGGATAGAAATGAACTGAATGTGCATTTAATATTGGTGTTATAGATACTTTACTGAAATCATTAAGTCCAGACTATGTAACTTTTGAAAAATACGTATGAAAAATTGAATTACTTAGCAATAAAAAGCACCATTATTTAATTTAATACACTCTTGGGTTTTGTCAGTCCAGTATGAACAGTGTTTACTGATGTTAGCAAACCTTAGGTAGCCTACCTTTGTAAACGGTATATAATGCTTTTCTATGCACTGTAGTGCACTCAAAGCACTTTACAGCACTTCCCCTTCACCCATTTGCACACACAAATGCTCACACATTCACACGCTGGTGTCATCACTAGAAGCAACTAGCAGTTCAGTGTTTTGCTCAAGGACACTTCAAAATGTGGACAGGAGAAGCCGGGGATCGAACCATTGACCCTACGGACCCTGTCTACTTCCTTTGCCACTGTTGCCCCTACCCCCACTTGTGAAATATAATGCTAACAGCAACAGAAATAAACATTTGCAAAGTGACTGTAACTGACATAAACCTCATGACAAAATACTTATTTAGAGTTAGCTAACATTACCTGACCTCAGCCAACATATGCTACTGGTCATACAATGCCAAGTAAGACTATAGAAGCAAATCCCTGTGGATTCAACTTGGTATGTTAGTTAGTTTGTTTTTTTTTTTTTTTTTTTTTTTATTCATCTTGAATTTATCTTTTCATTTGTACAGGGAAAAATGTGTTATTTTGTCTCTCAAAAGCAACTTTAATGTTCTCTGAGAAATCATGTATGACAGAAGCTAAGAACCCATGATGCACCTCCTTAAGACAGTTATATAAAATGGTAAAAATGCAGACTAAATGATTAGCGACATCTAGTGTGGTGCCTTTCTTACAACAGATGAGCAGTAAATAAAGGGAATCGGGTATGAAATGGTACAATTACTGTCCGTATGGCACTACTGCTAACATCTGCCTGTTTATCTGTGGCTAGGTTCAGGCGCTCAGTGTGACACAAGGCTGTTTTTATTGAGCCAGCCTGCCATTTTGGGAATGTGGTAGGTGGGACGGGCCAGTAACTGTTGCTGTGGAACCCACTGGGGACGCCTGACACACTGGATTAGCTGGCCGGTTGCTCCTCTGACAAGTTTTGTCTGTTCCCTGTCCATCAAATGCATAATTGTGCACACAGAGACATACAAAAAAAGCATGACACATGCTATGCACTGTGTCATGCAAGCAGATAGATGTGTGCCCTGTCACACACAGAATCAGACATACCCCCCCACCACGCACAAACACACTCCCTGAGGACTACAAACATCAATTCATGGGACATCAGGAGATGTGTTGCTTTGCTGTTGAATGTGCCTGACCTGTGACAACCATGTTTGCTGACAACATCCTGTCTCTCCAAATCATCACCTTGCAATGGCCTTCTGTTTATCAGCACGCTGCTGGCAAGGAAATGGAGGCTTCGTACAGAAAGCATTGTAAACACCTCTGATCCTAACAAATGTTTGGACTGAGGCCCTAATTATACAGTGCCCAAATATATGCGGGTCAGAATAAGATACGCAACGGCAACCTGTCACTGTCGTTCTTGTGTAAGAGGGCAGGTTTCCTTGCCTTTTCTGGGAACTTTTACTTTTCTGAGGCCATGGGCTTTGGGAAGGGAAATCCCACATATAATTCTGTTTGCATAAGGCATTAGACATGGCTCAAAACTGCAATAACATCCCAGCGAGACGACCTGATGTGGGTCACACCAATCCCTTTGAAGGAGATTATACTGGAAACTACACTAAACTTAAAATGCCTCACTGGAGGCATGTTTTGTGACAGCTTCTTCTGTGAATCTAGCTACACTGACATTTTAAAACGTTTTCATCGTTTCATTGGGACAACATGGCAATGATATAAACATCAAAAACATAAAGTGGGTTTGAATTTGTTCAGAGTATCTGTTGTCCTGTTGAGCGAATCATAAGAACACTAACTCTCCAATCTGGGTTACAGGAAAATGTTTCAACAAGGGAACTCCACCCTTTTTCTTTCTCCTTTCTCCAAAACACTCTTTTTTTCTCTCTTTACATACCTCTTGATACCTCTTGGCTCTAAGTTTCCCCCTCAATCCCTCACTCACTTTCTCTCATATGTTTTCCCCGCCCTTTTGTGCCATGTGCCTTAGACTCACTCAAAGTTTTGCATTCCTAATTTGTAACATCTCTGTATACCCAGAAAGCGTCCCCACCACACGATGATGACTCCCTTCATAGGGAGTGTCATCAAAGCAGGCACTCAAAAATAGCTTGAGTGTATCTAGCTATCAAACCAAAGTTAAACCCCCCCCCCCCCACCACACACACACAGCCTTCTCTTATTCCCCATAACCACCTAAATCTTCAGATTTAATTCTTGATCAGCAGAGGAAAAGGAAAAAAATGTTTAATAAAGACAACTGCAGCAGCAAGGAGGGGTGGAAGAAAAATAATATGGAGTGTCCATTAATGTTTCCGGATGAAACAAAACAGATTTGGCTGTTGACAGTTTAACAGGCTGCTCCGCTGTTATTTTCTAAGCGGTTAGCACTATTGTTAGACGGCTCCTCTTTGGAGCATGTGCTGTAGTGAAAAGGGCTACATTTCCATCATAATAACAACTGAAAAGAGTGCACTGTCACAGGGCACTTCCTCTTCTGGCTGAGACGCATGCCCCTCAGTCCAGCCTCGCTGTGCTGATGGATGAACAAGAGAATACGCTGTTCTGAATGCCAAAACAAAGCCGCAAAATATGGGATCACTGCTGTGACAGAGAATGTCACAGTCCCATTGCTCTATATGTCAACTAGAGTAAATATCATGGCCACATTAGCTGCACTCTCCCTGCTGTTTGAAACAATGACCAAACATAGACAGTGCTTTTAGACAATGAATATGGAACACATTGACTTGGAGACTTACAAGTTGGACAGTATCAGTGTAGAGCATCAAACGTCAGAATAACTGTTTGCACATATTTGAATGTACCAGAACCTAATTCTTTGTCAAACTCCTGTTTTAGTCTTCAGATGGTTAGTTTTCCATGTGATTATTAATGCCTAACAGTGGCCTGGCTCAGCCTGGTGTTTACCAATTCCAAACTCCTGATTTCGGGAACACAAAATGTCTTCCTTTGAACAACCATGAACAAAGAGGAAACACAATGGAGAGAGAAATAAAGTGAGAGCTTCAGCATGACCAAAATAGCCTCATGAAATTCAGGCCAAAATACAATACCATGATTATGGTTAAACAACAAGCGGGTGAATTAGCACCCTCCCAGCATTGACTCATTGGGTGTTTGTCCCCATTCAGAGTCTGTAATGATTTTGCATCTCTGTTAATCTTTGAGCCGAGGCGTGACTTATAAACCCCTCTGGATACCTTTCCAGTGTAAAGTGTCCTCCCTCTTTATCCTGCCCACAAACCCATGTTTACCAACCATACCTGACTGGCATATTCCCACTGTGCTGGCCTCAATACAACACTGACTTTCACAGTGCCACAGCGGTAGACTAACTGCAGAGCTGGATTTGGAGATGGCTTGCCTGAAGAAGGCTGCTTGGCTCTTTCTGCCTTTTAGATCAGAACCTGACTTAATCAGCTCAAATAACACCTGAATATTAATGTTATGATAAATAAACAAGAACCCTTACAGATTATTTGACAAATTAAAGAAAGACATTCATTTTGAGGCTCAATTATTGTATAATATTTATTTCCCAATGCTCGCTCCTTCTCTCTCCACTGTGCTTATGCAGTTTATCTGAGAATTCTAAATGCAAAGGTTCTAATCCAACACTTATAAATCCTCCCTCCCCCAGTCCACAAATTCAGACCCCTGTTCCTACCTGAGGGGAAACGTTCGATGACGGGCTGATTGTCCACCTGCAGTGTGGCATTACCACCGCTACGTGTGAATCGCACCACATGGTATTTGCCGTCGCTCACCATCACCGCACTCTCCTCAATGGTTATGTCGTCCGTTCCCACGTTGAAGATCACGCCGATCTTTCCCCGTTCCTATAGACAGAGGACAAAATATAACACTGTGAGAA